GGCCTTGCGCCCGCCTGCCGGGCCGCCCCCCCCCCACCGCCCCGCCCGCGGCCCCGCCCCACCCCCGCCGGCGCGGGCGCCCTCACCTACCGCCCCACGCGCGCGCGCTCGCGCACCACGCGCCCCGCGCGGCCCGCCCGGCTCGTGGCCTCCCGAGAGCAAGGTAAGGGCGATGCGCTGGGACCCGGGCGGTTTCCCCGCCCGGCGTGGCCGGGGGAAGTTTCTGGCGTCGCCGTATTCCGCTGGGCCGGGAGGAGGCCCCCGGCGGCAGGGGAGCCCAGTGAGCGGGAGGGGGCCGCCAGACGCCTGGGGGTCACAAGTTGCCTAACCTGCCATCGGGGCGGGCCGGCGGGCTGCGCGGCGGGGCGGGCGTCGCGCCGAGAGGGGCTGGAAGCGCGGCGGGCGAGGGGAGGGCCCCGAGGAACTTTCTCCTCCCCGGAGGGGCTCCTGCCAGCCCCGGCCGCGGCCCGGCCGCCGGAGCGGCTGGCTCCCCGGCTGGAGGGAGCCCGTGAAACGTGTTTGAAGAAGCTGACGCAGTTTGTGACGCTCGCGGCTTCCTGATGGGGACCGGCAGCGGCAGCGCCTTCTCCGAGGAGGGACGAGCCGAGGCGGCGCTCGGGCCCTTCCCCCCGCCCGGAGCCGCGCGCCCCGGCGCCTAGTTGGGGGGCTGGGGGCTCGGGGCGCGAGCATCCAGTGGAGGCCGGGAGTCGGGCCCCGGCAGCGCGCGTCGCTTCCGTTTTGATTAGCTCGGGTTATTATATAAGATGTCACGGAGAGGAAAGGGGCGAGCGGGCGGCGCGTTGGCCTTCCGCGAGGGGCGGGGAGGGGCGGGAGTCACGGCGAGCGGGGACCCACCTGTGCGCCCTCCTCGCCCCCTGCGGGTGTTGCCCGCGCGCCTGCCGGGGACGGGGAGGTGCGGGGCGGCGGCCGGGTGGACCGACGTGCCCGCAGCTCCCCTCCCGGCCCCGGGAACATTCGGGCAGTGGCCGAAACGTGCTGTTTCTTCTCCGCCGCCTTGCCTGGGTCTACTCGTTTCTGGCTCTGGGCGTTTGTACTTTGAAATATTTGTTTAATATTAAAGAAGCTGCGTGTGTGGCCGTCCTAGTGCGCTCGGAACGTGTGGCCGTGGGCTCCGGGGCGGTTAATGAATCATCGCCCCGCAGACCAGGCGCCGATGATTCCTGCGGGGTCCACCCCGCGCATACTCCCGGTGTGCCTCTGACCCAGGGACGGCGACCCTTCCTCGGCGGTGACGCCTTGGAGGGCCGCGGGAGAGGGAATGCAAAAGGGCGGCGGCTTATTTTTCCCCCTCCTCCCGCAATTTGGGGGAACTTTGGGGGTGGCAGAGTCCCCACATTTCCCGAGGCTTGTTTCCCGTTGTTAGAAGAGTTAACAAGATTCCACCTGGCTGTGTTGATGAGTCGGTGGAGGAGCGCTGATTCGCTGCAGGGTTGGATCGTCTCTCATTCAGAATCTGGATGGCTCTGAAGGAATCCTTCTAGTAATTGCCTCTACTTAAGTACCAATAAAGTAATCAGCAAAAAGTTTAAAAGTTAGTGGATCTTAAAAGAAAAATCAGTGGCTCCTAAGTAGAGGAGTTCTACTTAAAGGTTTAGGTTTGGGGATTTGTTTTTGTTTTGTTTTGTTTTAATAAGCCAAATCCTAAAAGGAACCTAGTTTGCCAGAAATTAAGAACTTTTGACCACTGTGACCACCCTTGAAGACTCAACTTGACTCGTTCCCACCATACCCCACACTTGTAGGATTAAGAATAAAGTTTTCTCATCATGTAGGACTCACCTCAAATGGCATCTACTCAGCAAGGCCCTCTTGATCACCTTAAGTAACCTCTCACCCCAGGGACCACCCCCAGTCCTATTTTATTTTCTTCATAGCACTTAATCGCTATCTGAAAGGATTTTCTTGGGTGTTCTTTAAGTCCTGCCCCTCTGCACTAGAAGGTAAGCTCTACTCTGGCAGGAATTTTTGCCTGATTTGTTCATTGCTGTAACTCTAACACCTAGAACAGTGCCTGGCATATTAGGCAGTCAGGATTTGTTGACTAGTGAATGAATGAATTCCTTTTTCCTATTTCTTGGTGGGACTATCTTTGACAGTTGAAATTTACTGCCTTGCGTGGGCAAGACACTAAGATGGTGCAGTTCTAATTTCTTCTAGTTTTCTTTTGATTGATTCATTTCCTCCTCTATGCTGTTAACTTACAGCACAAGATGGGTTTGAGCATCATATCCTAAGATGCTGAGTACAAGGCATGTGGAGCCTTGTCGAGAGAAAGGGTGTTGGCTGTATAAGTTAATGGATGATTAAAAATATTATCTGTGCTAGTTGAAAAAAAAAGGTACAGGATATTGAAAGGGAATCGACAAAGTCAGATTCCCACAGTGCTATATGTTTCCACTTGTATTTGAAATACTGATATTTCTATATTCCTCCCTCTCCATCGCCTGCACACCAACCTCAAATTGAGCTGCAGTTTGGGAAGGTCCATAGTAGGTAGCATTTACTATGAAGTATTAATTTAACTAAACAAATACAAGATATACATCTCTGCAGTGGCCTTAACTCTGTTGTTGTTAGTGTCAACGGCTTAACTCCATAGAAGAGTAGATAGAAGGAGTTATTTTAAATTATATTTTAATTTTAATATCTTAAGTGAATCGTAAAGAATTAAGTTAAAACTATGTCAGTAATATAATGGAAGAAGGATTAGAAGGTCGTGCTTCATACTACCTCCTCTGAGGATAAATTTTAGTAAACTTTTTTATTATAAATAACAAACTTTGGAGGCGTATTAGTTGGCTTTATACTTGTAGGAATATTTTCAGAACTCAGTGCCTCCAAACTCACTGCCAAAGAAGAGTGTTCCCTTTCCAAAGCAGTAGCTGTGAGCACTTTCAGAAGTGTAATCTCAAGAGTGAGCTCAGACATAATACAGGTTGAAAGCTAAATGGGACCTTGAAATTGGTTGGCATATTTCATTCCCTTTTTATCAGTCCCTTTACTGAGGTAACTAAGGCACAGTGAGATGACTTGCCCGGTGTGCAGGTCTGGGATTAGAACCAAGGGTTCTGACTTCTTGTTGGAAGTCGTCAAATCAACCAGAGCTCCTATAGTTGGGGAACGAGTGGTCGCTATGGTTAGTCGACTGTCCGCCTCTTGCCGGTGAACTCTCAGGGAGTGAAATGAGGTCGTATTCAACTTTGTAGCCTTTGATGTGCCTTGGACATCTAGGGGCTCAACACATAGTTGTTGGGTGTAGTTGGACAAACGTATTTTAAGTTGAAAATATATTTAAGAATTGAGAAACCAGAAAAACATATCTCTTTTCCAGAATGAAGATGTTTTTGATAAGAAAGTCAGAATGTTGGCAGTAATTAACCTTAGAACTTCTATAGTAATGAGGTTGCTGTTTAATTTTCACGCCTCCAGAATTTCAAATAAAATGGCTTACAACTTGTAAGTGTGTGCACTTGCTTAGGTGGCATAATTATTCACTGAAGAAACAATCGGAGGCTGTTTCAGGACACCTGGTAGGTCTTGCCTTTGCCATGGTGTCCAATTAGAAAAGCCTAGACTGTACAGCCAGATAGAATAGGGACCTAAGCTCAGCTCTGCCCCTAACAAGCAGGGCTCTCTGTAGCAAGTTACTTAACTTTTTTGAGCATTCTCTTGTCTCTGAATGGGGGTAGTACCACCTGCCTTGAAGGATTGTTGTGACGCTGGGGTAAGGTACAGAAAGTGCCTCGTGTACACTAGGCCGTTAATAAATGGCAACAGTTATATTATGATTTCTGATTTAAGAGACCAGGGGAGCAGCTTAATTTCTTAAAGCTTCAGTTTTATCAGCTGGAGGATTGGTGATTGGCATGGAAGGAGGGAAATTAAATGATCTCTAAGATCTTATCTAACTGTATAGTTTAAGGAACTGATAAAGAATGCACAGTTCTACAATTTTAGTTGAAATGATTCATATATCCTTGATCTAACGAGCAACTGCAAAAATGGTTAATTTCTAGGCCTTCCTAAGAATTTGGCTTAATTAGCTTTGGTGATATTAAGTACATCTTCATTATTTTATATGCTATATGGTGGATACAGAGTTAACTTGAATATATCAACCTCTCATTCAGCTTACTGTATATAAGGCAGTATAAGGAGTATATGGGTTAATCAGACATAGGTACCCTTTCTTTGAGAGGCTTAGGCGGCATGTAGGGAGCATAAGACAGGTGACCAAAGGTTTTATTATATGGAGGCACTGTTATAGAGGCATAAATAAAATGTTTTTTTTGCTTTCCGTTTTCTGTTTTTGGCCGCGCCGGGCGGCATGCGGGATCTTAGTTCCCCCACCAGGGATCGAAGCGTGCCCCCTGCATTGGGAGCACAGAGTCTTCATCACGGACCGACCGCCAGGGAAGTCCCAAGAAAATGCTTTGTGATTTCAAGGAAGGAACACACTATTTCTTGGCAGAAAAATTGGGGAAGGTTTAGTTAAGGGATCTTGAGCTTTAAAGAACTGGTGGAACTTAAACTGGCAGAGGTGTAGGGCTCAGCCTGTGCTAAGACTTGAAGGAAAGAGTATATGAGCATATCCAGGATGGAGAGGAGTGTGGTTAAGCTGTAGGGTGAGGAGCCTGGAGGCAGGATAGTGGGACGGCACGCCACCTGGCAGTGTTAGGACCATATTGTGGGCATCTTGAGCACTGGGCTAAGGAACCTGTTTAGTAGGCAGTAGATAACTATCAAAGGTAGTTTGAGTGGGGGACTTAAAGCTATGCTTTAAGAAGATTAATCTGTATTGGGGGAGTCATGGATAATCCCACTTCGAAAGCTATTAAAATAGTTCCTGGGAGAGAAGGAGTGAGAACCTAAATTAGAGTGGGGGCAGTTGGGTGGGTAAGACCCTGTAGAAATAGTAAATGCAGCAGGACTTGTTGGCTAACTGGATGAGGGAATTGAGGGAGAAGTCAGAGACTGAAGCTGAGTGACTTTGGATGGTGATGGCAGAAATGGAAATAGTCGGAAAGGCCACTATTAAAGCACCTGTAAGTAGTATGCAATCAGTAAGTATTTGTCTAGTTAATGGAAGTTTGGATTTGGATATGTTAATTTCTTTGTGCCTATGAAGCTATCCAAATGGATGGCAGCCATTTAAAACAGAGATGGATTTGAGGGCATCCTTATGAGGGGGGATGGTGAAGCTGTGAGAAGGGTTCAAAGTATGGGTGAGAAGAGTAAAAGACCAGGGCAGAGTCGGAAAAACCATGTTTGTGGGAGACAGAAAGAAGCTGACAGGATGCCGAGAGGAAAGAAGCTGGAAGAGAACAAGGAAAAGGTAGGGTAAAGAAAGGGGAGGAAAGAGAATTTAGACGGGACAAGTAGCAGTGTCGAGGCACTGAGATTGAAGACTGAGAAAAGGTCGTTAGATTTGTCAGTGAGACCATTGCCAGTAGCCTTTGAGCATCAGGGGTAGTTGGGCAGTGGAGATGGAAGTCAGCCAGGTACCTGAGCAGGAAGGAAGCGGAGAGAGTAAGTATAAGTGAGGATTGGTCTGTGAAAATTGGAGAGGACTGTAACTTGAGGTGATGAGAGGGCCAGGGAGCCAGTCTTAAAACCAAACCGTGAGAAAGGCCTGAGAGCGTTGTGGGCCGAGTGGTTGTCAGTGGAGAGGAAGAGGCTGAGGATCTGGAGAGGGAGCGGGAGGGCAGTTCGCGCGCCAGGTCAGTGCTCCTCAAGTAGGAGGCACGGGAGCTGGATAAGGTGGCCACACGTCCGATTGCCCAGGACAGTCTCCGTTCACACCTGTTACCCCAGCTCAGTTATAGGATAACAAATAACGCCTGTTTTTATTCTAAAACAAAGTCCCTTTTCTAATACTAAATCATTTGATCATGACAAAGATAGTTATTCGTGGAAAAACAGATGTGACATGGAGGGAAGAAGATTAAATGAAGGCAAAAAGGAACAGATTTAGAGAGGAAAGTTGGAAGCTGGGAGGGAGTGTGACTGCATTTTAAATGGGTTGGTTCCCCTTTTTAAGAAGGAAAGAAAAACGGAGGAGGCCAGTTCTGTTTGCTGAGAGGACGTTGAGAGTGAGAGGCAAAGCTGGGAGGTGGAGGAGACGGGGAAAGGTTTGGAGTAGCTGTGGGTATGAGTGTGACGAGAGCCAAAGGTGATAAGGGCCTGACAGGTCGCACAGATGCCTTAGCCTTGTGATAGAACGAGTCATGCCTGTATTTACGACTTTTCCAGCAATACTGAGAAAATTGGAAGTGGAGATGGTGTGAGTATCGTTGAAACTGCCAACTCCATATGGGTCCCGGGTTGAGTAGGAAGGCAAGTGAAACTAGTGTTGATGGGCTGGGAGAATGAGCAGGAGATGTGAGATTAGACTGTGTAGTGGCTGGTTGGGCAAGAACGAAGGAAAGGGAGAAATGGGAGTGTGGAGGGGAGTCCTGGGGCTGGTGGCCAAGGGCCTGAGGGACTTGAGTAGCTTATCATGATGGAGGGATGGGTAATGCGCAGTGATGTGAATTCAAAGTCTGGCTGAACCTGGGAATGGTGAAACGACATCAGCATGAGGTAGAAGCTCATTGATCTTCAGGAACTATGAGGCCAGGGTGTCAAATGATTATTATGTATATCAGTGTCAATAGCTGTTGTAAAAATTCTGGAATACATTTATTAAAGCCTTTCTGAGCTTTTAGTCTGTAGAGTTGGAGAGTACCCTAAAAGAGGGAAGTTATTCCTTCATTTAAAAGATGAGGAAGCTAAAGTCTCTTAAAGGCTTTCTAGGAAAATTGAGACCTGCCCCAGACTGCAGATGTATGTGGCAGAGCTGTCTCTGGAAAGAACCGGAATCCCTGAATTTCAGTTCAGTATTGCCCTCCACGACAGAAGAAGTAATTAAAGTATCCACTGAACAAAGTTTTACAATGTGTCCTCACCACACGGCCTGCCTACTGCTTGTAGAGCACCAGTGTTTGTGGGCACAGAAAGCCGCTGAGGAGAGCTGTGGAGTCGTGTCCACGTGCTCTGACTTCTGACCGAAAGGCAGGTGATGGCGTCTTTGAGGAGGACACATGAAAAGCACCCCTTCTTCCCCACTAATTAAAAAATAGATAAGAAGCAGCAGGTTGTCAAAAAATTAACTTCGTTACTGATGCAGCCTAGGCTGGAAGACACAGCTTGGTGTGAACCCACATTGGTCTTGTGCACCTTCTACACCCTAGGCTAGACTTTGAAACTGCCTACTGGATGGAAAGTTTGAGGCTGCAGAGCAGAAATACCCAGGTTTCTGCCTTTCACTGTTCAGACAGAGAAAGAGAAAAGAGGCCAAATCTCTCATGCCAAATATCTTTGATAGAAAAACTCCATCCATTTGTAAACTGAGAAACAGACCCATGGCTGTCACACACCAAGCAAATAAATTGCTCCTCCTCTGTGGGGAGAGTATGGTGCAGGGCGGGAAGACAGGCGTGGATAGGGAATATCCCCCCTTTGGAAACCCTGTGAGTGGCAGAGAGGCATTTGTTCCCCTTGCAACAGGTTATAGACCACTCTTAACCTTTGTGTTTGTGTTTGAATTAAACTGACTTCTGAGGCAGCAGGTGCATTTTTATGTTAACTAGCAGTGAGTGAAATGACTCAGAAGGTTTGAGCATAGTCCTTAGTTCATCGATTTCATAGAAATGTCTAGTTGTTTTCTCATTCCTCTCTGGGGAATCTCAGGAAGCTCACAGATATCATCGCAGAGACCACCAGCTTTGATATCCTGTTTCTGAATCCAGAACTTTAGAAAAGTGGAAAGTTCTTTCTCCTCATAACATGTTTAAGGAGCCTTTCATTGGACATACGGCACTTGGAATTTGTCCTGATTCTGTCACTGTTAGTGACCTTACTAATTAACTATTACGTGCCTCAGTTTCCTCATCTACAGCATGGGAGAACATAATGCCTGTTCTGTTTCCCAGGTATTTGATGTGAAAGCTCTTTGCAAATAAATAGTGTCATGCAAATAAAAGGTATCAATATCACCATATGGTATACAAGGTAAATTTTGAAGTTTAAGAACTTTTTAAAAATAAAATGTTTCAAATAAAACAACTAAGATGACTATTGAAATTTGATGGGACCCTGGTTTAGGCACTGAAGGTAAATCATGATAACTTTTCTCCCTTTATCCATGTCAGTGTGCATAACAGTTCTGGCCAAGTGTGATTAAAGCACTGTGTTTCATGACAAATGAAAAATTTGCCTTTTTATCTGTTTCTCTTTTAACTGTTAAAAAGGTCTTTTTTTTTTTTACTGTAAAATATAACACATATATAACTTTTGAAATGTAAATGTATAGTTCAATGAATTATTAAAAAGTGAACATCCATGAACCTACCTCCCAGCTCAAGAAATGGGACAATTTCACCCCCCACCCCTACCCACCATAGGAGTCTTTTTTCTTTGTTAGATGCTTGCTTTTCTTTTCAGGGAAGTGTTGAGTAGTAGCAGGAGGCAATTATAAATATTGACAGGTCCAGAATATGTGCTTCTTTGAGTGGAATTAGATCAAAGGTGTAATATTAGTGTTTTACTCTGTAGTTATTTCTTATAACTATGAATTCAGTGTTTCGGACAAGTCCTGGGTTTTCAGCCTTAAAGATCAAAATCTTCAGGCTTAGAGCCTTCAGATTTGAATGGGAGTGAAAAAGTTGTGATCCTTTGGATGTGAGAAAATTCATGCGTAATTATTTGTTCTGATCATCCCTCCTTTGCCTGTTTTTAGAAGCAAAATAACTAAGACTGCAGTGTTGATGATGACTTCGTATAGTAGTCAAAGGTCTTCTTGGAAATACTTGAACATTATCAAGGCAAATACCTTTCAGCTCAGGCCACCGTAGGCTAGATTTGAAGTCGCAAGAAGGAGTCAATGAAAACAGCTTTACTGCATGAAAACAACCTGTATTTTCTTCAATTATAATCTAGTGTTCTAAATTCTACCATCTTTTAAGGCTTAATTAATGAGTCAATAAACCAGAAGTATTTTGTGGTATCCAGAAAAGGATTCTGTTTTGTTTTTTATGCTTTTATGATTAAGACAGAAAATGATGGTAAACATTAAAAGAATTGGGAAAGTATCTTAGCTAATCAGATGCATCGATTAAAAACAGAAAAGGTGTAAATGTTTCAAAAATTGATAAGGAAAAAAAAACTGATAAGGAAAGGATCATCTTTTGGGGGCAGTTTCTGTGGTTGTAAGATTGAGTTATTGGGATTTAGAAATTTGGTGGACTGGACCTGTGTTTACTGTCTGTCCCTCCTGAAGCACCACTATAGTGATGGTAAACAAGAGATGGGAGACACCAACACATTTTTGGAGGATGAAAAGCAGACAGACCTGTGGCAACTGACTTAGTGTAGAGTGGAAAAAGTTGATACCTAAGTGCCCTTAAAGGAGATTGGGAATAGATACTGGGAAGAAACAGCCAATTTATCCCTCAGAATCCCAGAAGGGCTCTGGAATTAGAGGCTCTGGAATAGGGCATGGGGCTGAAAATAAGGGATTGATTAAGAGTTCATAAAAGGAACTAGACTCTCAGTTCACTTTCCCCATCCCATATAGCAAGAGGAAGTCCTGGACATTTTTTCTCTGGAGAAACTGAAATATATTAACAGTTCTGGATTTAGGGATAGCAGAAAAAAAGAAAAAAGAGGGTAAGGGTGAAATTCTGAACTGAAAACAGAGGAATTTAATGAAATTATGCATACCAAACAGTGAGACCTGGTGTGTTCTTTTTAACCCACCCGCAATCCTAGGATAGCCAGGTAATCACCAACCCAGGCAGCATATTGAGGAACTCTTTTCTGGGCAAAGTGAACAGCCCTAGAGAAAAGACCTACAGATACTGATATATGAGGTCCCACAATGAGAAAACTGACTTACTATCCATTCTTCCTATGGTGAACCCTCAGCAACAACCCACCTCCCCCTATTCTGTGAACATGGAACTTGCAACCAGTTTTTTAGTACCTTAAATACAAATAGTCAGTGAATATGAGACATTTGAAGAAAGCATTCAAGAAGAAAAAAGGCAGGAACCAGAACAAATGAGAAAAAAATCATGGAGGAAACAGAAATGCAAAAAGAAGAAGAAAAATTGAAATAATCAAAATCAATCCTCCTAGAATTAATAAAATAAGAACTGGGCTGTAAAAAAGTAATAATTAGAGAATAAGAAATAGGTCTTGGAAACTAAAAATAAGATGGCAAAAAAAAAGTCATTGGAAGGACAGAAGATAAAGTAGAAACAAACGCAAAAAGGAAAAAGAGGGAAAAAGTAGAATTAGAGGGTCAGTTGATCAGGTATTATATCATATTAATAAGAGTTCCAGGCAGAGACTACAAAAATAAAATAAAAATAAATCAAACAAAAGTTTACAAAAAAGAAAGAAAAAAAAAAGAGATTACAGGGAAAAGTAAAGGAGAGGAAATTACCACAGACATAATACAGGATATTTTCCCAGGACTGGAAGACATACAATTATAGATTAAAAGAGTTCACAAAATAGCCACATGAGTGAATGAAAAAAGATCCACACGATCCGTGTATAAGACACATCATTGTAACGTTTTGAATACTAAGGAAAATGGGAATAAGCTAAATTCTGTGGAGGATAGAACAGATCACATACAAAATGATTGGGAATTGTAATGGCACCTAAAGAACAATGGATTAATTCTTTCAGAATTCTGAGGAAAATTATTCTTAATCTAGAATTTCAAACAAACTGTCGAGTGGGAGATACAGTAAAGACATTTTGAAGGTGTGAACGTTCTCAAAAGTTTACTCTCTGTGCATCTTTTTACAGGAGGCTATTGGATAACATCAAAATGTGGGCATAAATGTACTGAAACATACAGACTATTAAATACCCTGACCATGCATGACTGCAAAAGACGCTGGGAAAAAATGTTGACATAACTATATCTTAGGAGTCTGGGAGAGGATAAGCTAGTGCATAATAGGACATCACTAATTTTATTAATTACTAAATTAAAATCAAAAGTAAATCAAGAAATATTAGTATATGCATATTGTTTAGGAATATAAAATTTAATATCAAAAGAGAAATAGCTAACTATTTTTAAAGTAGATTGCCTTTGGGAAGTGGGTTTGGGAGTGAGTGGAGACATGAGAGGTTACTGCTGTGTTTTCATTTTAAGCCTGATAGTACTATTTGTTTAAGTAATTTGCATGAGTTATATTGGTAAAAATAAAGTTAGTAGGGAAAAAAAAGTAATGCAGTTCTAATAAGTGAATTAGAGAATGATTTACATGGATCCAGGGTTTTAAAATATATACATTTAAAGTTAAGAAATATTGTTTTGAAGTTAGAATCCTCCCTCACAACTGATTCCAGCGCTCTGGAATCACCCTGTCTCAGAATCATTTGAGGCAGCTTTAAAAATCAAATCCTCCCTCCATCCTGAAATTCATTGGACTTATTTGGCTTTGGCTGGGCCCCAGGGAATCCTTAAGTTTTAGAAGAACCCCAGCTGCTTCTGAGGTATATCTAGGGCTGACTCCTAGCCAAGTAGTTTAAATACCCTTGCTTTTGCTGCTTTAATGTTTCCTGTATTCTTCCTATCCTCTCTCACTGCTTCTGCTTCAGGTCTGATCTTCTCTGTCTCTCAGTTCTGAACCAATACGGTCTATTTGGGGTTGGAAAAGTAGGAGGAGAGAAAGAAGAGACATGGGAGAGGTCATTTGGATGACTAAATAATGAGAATGGCTGTACAGAGAGCCGATATTTGTTTCCTTTTGTTTTGCAGAAACTATGTAAATTGATGGCCTTATCTTGAATTTCTGATGGAGTAATTTTAGAGTTCAAGTTCAAGTAAATTTGAACTTTATGACATTTTGTTATTTCTTTACCTTTAGTGTTGCCTCCTGGGGCTAAATCTGTTGCACCCTTAGGTTGCCCTCAAGTTTTTTTTATCTCCCCTAGGTTTTGCCCCCAACGCTCCCAGCTGTGGTCTATCAGATGTTTGCCAATAGCATTTCCATTTTGCACCTGGGATCATCAGCAGTTTTCATAGCTCTCTAGTTTTCTGTGAGGGAATTCTTAAAAAGGAGATTAGCAAGCAAGAGATGAAGGAATATAAGAATTATGTAATTTCCCAAGGTTAGAGGTCTTGTTGAATTAGGCTTTGACTACAGAGATTTTGTACACCTTTTTTTTTTTTTAATATAGATTTATTTATATTAGGTCTTTGGCGCGGTGCACAGGCTTCTCATTGCAGTGGCTTCTTTTGTTGCGGAGCACGGGCTCTAGGCGCACGGGCTTCAGTAGTTGTGGCTCATGGGCTCTAGAGCACAGGCTCAGTAGTTGTGGCGGGCTTAGTTGCTGCACAGCATGTCGGATCTTGCCGGGCCAGGGCTCGAACCCGTGTCCCCTGCATTGGCAGGCGGATTCTTAACCACTGCGCCACCAGGGAAGTCCCGGATTTTGTATACCTTAAAGGAGAAATGTTTGTTGTGTGGATGAGAGAAACAGTTGAGACCTAAGGGAAGAACTTCTTTAAAAAAAAAAAAAAAGAAACCTAACTTTAGATTTTTTAAAATATCAATAATTATAGACATAGTTTCTCTTGTACCTTTTCCCAGTCCCATTTCTGCCTCCCTAGATTGAACTGGTCTTGTGAATCAGGCATCAGTGATCTGCTTGTAACTGTTTCACATCGGGCCAATGCCCTGCGCCATACAGTGAGAGGACTTCCCTCTAGCATTCTGTCCAGTATATAAAGAGCTGTCCTGGCTGGTTTCTGAGGGGTTACTTTACATTTAATACATTTGCGCAGCAGGACCAAAGTGTGATCTTTATCACACTTTGATAAATCCCATCAATAAGTCTTATTCAGGGCTTGCCCACTTAGTGCAAGTCTCTTCTAGGTCAGTGTGTCTCACACTTCAATGTGCACGCAAATCCCTCGGGATGGCGTTACACTGCAGATTCTAGTTCAGTTGCTCTCAGGGGAGGCCTGAGATTCTGCATTTCGAATAAGCTTCCAGGGGATGCTGCTGGTCCTCAGACCACACTTAGAGGAACAGGGTTCTGGCTAGTGGTTCTCAACTCTGGTTGCTCTGTAGAATCATCTGGGGGCTTCTAGGACCTATCCCTGGTGATTCCCATACAATTGGTCTAGAGTGAGGCCAAGATGTGATATATGTGTGAGTCTGTACATATATGTGTGTGTGTGCACATATATGTGTACACATATAGGTATTGTGCGTATACATGTATATGTGTGCATGCACATGTGTGCACGTGTGTACATATGTGCTTGCATGCATATATGCATGTGCACGTGTGTGCATGCACTTGTGTGTGCACATTTATACGTGTATACGTGTGTGTACACACGTGTGTGCATATATGTGTGTATGTACGTATACATATTATCTAACTCCCCAAGTAACACTAGTGTGCACATAGGTTTGGGAACCACTCTTACAAGCTCTGCACACTTTAGCTGTGACTCACAGGTAAAGATCTTCATGTGTGGACTTTGTAGCAGTCTGGGAAGTATCCACAGCCTTTACATATGGACACACCTGCTTTATGGATAGTCTATGGAGGAGCGATTCCTCTTGGATTGCTTGGTTCCTAGAGAGCAGATAGAGGTGGCTATCAGACGGGGCATACCTAAGGGAAAAAAAGGCCTTTTCGTTAAAACCACATGTCACTTGATATAGGAAAGATATTTAAAGTGACGAATAAATACAAAGTTGGTATCTCTTTTTTCAGGGGATCCTTCTGTCTTCTACATCCTTTCAGTAAGAGATCATGGGAAAATTATGTTATAAACTTCGATGCTTTATGTTTTCTCCAGAGAAGGCTATACATTTACTTACTATGTATATGTTTACCTATAAATATATGTACTTGCAGAGTTTCGGCATAGCTAGAATTCTAGTACTTTTCCTTTGCCAAATACTTAGAAAAATTTAGATTATCTCCTATACGTTTACTTTTAGGTCTTAACTTGTCCTAAAAATTGAGTGACTTACCATCCTGGTGAAGGGACAGTTATTATTCTCAGGATCTTCCAATGCTGATAGCAATTGATGACTCGATTTGCTCAAAAATCATAGGCCTTAGCTCAGTTCAAATGTTAATTGTTTTGTTATTATTACAAAGATGATCCTAGAAGCAGATGATACAATTTTCTGTATATTAAAATTATGTTAACTACAATTTCTTGGAAACAATAAGCATTAAAACCAATGGATTAAAATTAAATATAATTGTGCTGCTAAGGAATTGCAATCCTCTCCTCCACCTCCCCACCATTCAGTCAAAAATAGGACTTTGATTTTATTTCCTTAACATTACCTTGTCTACTTCATGGCCTCTGACTTCGGTCAGATTCTCATTACTTCTCATTCATGTTAATTTCCTTACTGGACCTCCCTCCATTCTTGTTCCTAACAGCCGTTCTGCCAGAGTCCTCTATTGTGGAGGTAAATCTAGGGCTTTCCCTTGTCTGAGGATAAAGTCTGAATCTCCAGAGTATCATGTAGAGCTCTCTCACCTGGCCCTACCTTTTCTCTACCCTCATCACCTGTCGCTTCCCTAGACAGCAGTTTATTCATTCCTTAGCTGAGATTGAAGGTAGGAGAGAAAATATTGGAGGCTTGAAAGATGGTAACGGCATGGAAGAGTGGTTTAGGAGAGGGGGTGAGTAGATCGCACTAGGGACATGAACTGTGATTGCTGGGCAGCAGTGACGGTCTCCTGAGGTAGGTGATGACAGATGTAGAGTGAGACCGGCTGGCATTGGCTGCAGGGGTACAGGTGTGGGGAATGTGAAGCCTTGTATCCTGCCAGTTGCCCGACTACGTCATCCCACTTCTTGTCTCTACTCTTGCACATGCTGGGTCTCCATCTAAAACACTTCCCTTGTCTTTGCCTGGAAAAAAGTCTCTTAAGGAACCCCCTTGGTACTTTCCTCCCCTTTCCAGACATTCTCCCTTGACCCCCATGATATCTGGTCATCTCCCTCCATCCTGTCCCCACTGTTCCATTAGCCAGCCACGCCATGGCAAGTATCTGTTCATACTTGTCTCTACTAGACTGTGGACTTAACAAGGGCAGGGATGCGATCTTTTGATGTCCAGTTCATATCACAGTGCCTGGCACGAAGTAGACACATATAATAAGTGCTGGATGAATCAACACAAGATTTCTCTGTAAAGTGTTGAGAATCTGTTCTTGCTGGATTGGAGGTCACTCTAAAAGTGAATTCCACTTAGTAGTAAATGACACGAAAAATTGTGTTGCTTTAAGTTTTAGTCTGATCTACCCCTACCAAATATCCAGGTTAACAAGATCTTTCCAAATGTACACACATATGTGCATGTGTGTATACATACATACTTATGTACATGAAAATGGAGGAAAGTATAAATAAATATTAAATGTCTGGGATAATAGATGTCATAGAGGCCTGCGCACTGCACATGGTTTATCTGTTCTCTTTCAGATGGGCCGCCTTGGCTAGTAGGAAACAGGTTAAAACCTTAAGGAACATGTGAGCCAGTATTAAACACATCTATGTTTTCAAGTTATGAGTATAAAAATGTAGTTTTGAAAAGGTTTTTCCCAATTGTGTAGAAACATATAGAGATCTTAACTGCCAAAAGAATTTCATGGCATTTACAAATGAATGAAACCTGGAGAGAAATTAAGGGATACTATTTTTTCCGGAGGTAACAA